TCTCCTGTAGTGGTTCATTGAACCACAATATCGATAAGTGATTAATAAAAGTCAAAAGACCAAAGAGGTCACCTTAAAAAAAAAATAAATAAATAAAAAATTTATTTAAAAAATTATTAAAAATATATTTATAATCTTTTTTTAAACTTTAATATATTTAAGTAAAAAATTTTATTTAATAAAGATCTGATGTAACAGATTACTCATAGGTACCAATTGGATAACTACATGATAATGACACAAGGGTTAGATAAAGTTATATCTGTATATTGTCTATACTAAACTGTTATAAATAAACTTCTAATTGGTAACCATCATGACTGCCAAAAGTAAATAATAATAATAATAATAATAATATAATAAATATTAATAAATTCTTTAAAAATATTTACACTTATGGTATGCCAAGGACTTCATGCCTCGAACCCTAGGTGCAAATGATAGAGACAGCCTATTTTTACATTTACCTTATTTTGAGGGATTAATCAAATTTCACGATTTTGATTGGTTAAAGGCAACAGGTGATGTGTTGGCCCTACATAGCTCGTTTAATTTTTCTTCTACGTACGTTATCTCGATATTTTATTATGCAAATTGACTTTCATTTATAGTTGAAAAATGTCAACCATATCAAAATTTATATGAATATAATAAAAACTCATTTTTCAAAAAAATGTAAAAATGGGTTGTTTCTATTGTCCGCACCCCATATATAGTATTCATACATACATTTTAATTCGAATTCATCGTTTTACTGTATATATTACGTTTTACGTGTAAATTAACAACATAACTACAGTCTCTAAATTACACATAAGGACATTGATAAATTTCAACGCGTTCTTCGACCCTAATTCGTAACTTCAATAGGAACAAATCGTAAATATGCGCGGTACTTAAAATTGAAATACGCAAAAGCAATTTCACAGTTAGTCATAATTCAATTAAATAACTATGTTATATTTAAATCAAAGTGGTGATACAATATAAGGGGCAACCTGTCCTCGGGCTTTCAATCCTACACTAAATATAATCGAAAGCCCGATGACGGGTTTTCCCTTGACATCATTCATATATAAACTAGAGGTGCAGACGAATCGCCTCCAATGATGTTCCAATGACACCTCTAGCCCCAACAAATACACACTTTATGTAAATTCGGGGTATAGCTTGGTCCCGTCTTATAAGAGTTCCATATATTTTGTTTTCTAAAAATGCATATCTTCACCATCAGTATTGAGTATACTTGTCGACCGAATTAAACTCCCAAATAACATATGAAAATACGTATATTATAAATTATTAATTTTGGAGTTGGGTAAATAAACTATAGTAATATGAATTTGGGTGTGCAAATATAATCCTAAGGATAATGACAAATATATTACTATATAAAATTTAGTTAGGCTACTTGTACTAGTATATTATATACTCTTCTAACTACTCTATCACATTAGATAAGAGAAATTCTCTTAATTATATAATGTCGAAATATATGTAATCTCAATAAAAATGATTTTTTAAATTTCTGCAAAGAACATTAGTAGGGTGTATATATGCTCGCCAGAAAGACCCTTGAGAACTTATTTTTTTGAAAATGGAAAGCATATTTCTGTTTTAAAATTTTTAAGAACTTTGCCTGTTTCTCATGTGTATACTTTTGAAGTTGAAAAAATATTGTAATCAAGATAGTTCGAGAAGATTTGACAAAAAACGATTATCATAGAAAAAGCAGAATGAATAACTTTCAAGTTATAAGTTTTAATTATAACCATTTTTATCATGAATCAGAATTTTTAAACTTTTTTAGGCTGTTAATCCAAAATTCTCTTAGATCGATAACAATACACTAAACATGATTAATTCTATACATAACACCATATGGGTGCTGCCAAGTGAAAACCTGACATTCTAAAAATAGATTTCTACGGACAACGGAATACAGACTTTAAATAAGACTATGTGATCAAAAAAACAGTATAATCCCAGATTAATTCAAACCCCGCATTCCGTTGTTCATAGAAATCTATTTTTAGAATGTCAGGTTTTCACTTGGCGGCACCCATATGAAACAACATTATGAATATTGTATGGTTCATACTCTATCACAACAAAATTTTTATTTATATAATTACAATGTCAAAATGAGTCAACATTTTTCTATTATAAATGAATAAACTTGAATTTTAAATGAAATTTAATGTTAACAATATACGTGATTTCTCTATTATTAATCAATTGATAATAGAATAGGGTCCCTAAATTGCAAGAGATTCGAAAATTTTTAATAAAACTTGCATTTAGAAGATGTGCATTTAGATAGAATTGAATGTAATTACCTTTATCGGTTATCTTTTTCTAGTAAGGACCTTTTGTGTAAGTTCAACTAGTGCATTTCGTGCATCTGACTTTGGTAATCGTGATATAGCATCGATAGCTTTTTGACAATGTGATGTTGCTAAAAGTTTTGTTTGTTCAATTCCATTACTCTTGTAAACCAACTGTCGTGCCTAAAAAAAAAAAAGTATGTAACCAAATTATTAATTTCTAAAATTTAATAAACATTTATTGCAATTTCTTTAAATAATACAAATTCAACCTTTTCAACATCACCACCTTGAGAAAAATTGCGTCCGATTAATGGCCCCAACTCTGGATATTCCTCCCATGCATATAATACTGGTGCTGTGGCTAAACCCAATTTTAAATCTGCACCTATCGGTTTTCCTAATTCGTCAGATGTAGTTAAAAAATCCAACATATCATCTATCAACTGAATAGTAAACAAAGTATCAATATCCAAATTAAAAAAATAATAATAATTATGATAATAATAAATAAATAATAAGCATAAAAAAACCAAGTATATAGATATGTATGTATTTGTATAACTTACCTGAAAAGCTAATCCTAGATTACGACCATACGTATAAGCAATATCACAAACTTCTAATGTAGCCCCTCCTAATACTGATGCTGCCTGACAACTTTTGGCCATTAAACTCGCCGTCTTCATATATGTTTTTTCCATGTAATATTCAAATACTGACATAGTGCCATCTTGAACATTTTTAAGCTGCATAAATTCACCTTCAACAAGGTTAGCAATAACTGTGGCTATCAACTCGATTACCTCTGGATTTCTTAAACGTGCTAAAGCAATAGATGCTCGTGCAAGTAAAAAATCTCCCGCAAGAATTGCCATTTTATTCCCAAAATTAGAATTTGCTGAAATATCATTACGACGTATCTGTGAATTATCAATAACATCATCATGAAGTAAAGATGCTGTGTGTATCATTTCTGTGATTTCTGCTAAACGCCGTTGTGTGGGAAGGATGATCGTCCCTGACGATGAAAATGATGGAAAATAAATAGTGTCCTTATTATTACATGATAATATATCATTATGTGTCGTTAAGGGTTTATCTATTATCTGATAAAAATCTGCCGTACTTGTGTTATATTGTTTTGCTGCAATGCTTGTTGCTTGTGACATCAAAAGCACAAGCAATGGTCTTATACGTTTTCCTTCTGATTTGAAATAATATTTACTAACAGTGTTCAAAAAAGGATGTCTACTACCTAAAAGTTTCTGAATGTTTTTAGTTAAATCTACCAAATCTTTACCAGGATCAAAATACGATCCATCACGATGCTGAACTAACTTTTCTGCTTCAGCTATTGTTTGAATTAATGTATTCTCTTCTCTAACAAATTGTGAAGGATATTGAGAAGGATGGTTAGTTTTATTTGGATTCTTTATGCTCGTGTTTCTACCCTTTAGAACTGATGCTTTGACAATATCAAAACCGTTAACTAAACGTTGTAGAAATGTAGTTTGAACTTTAGTAGTAAGTACCGAGTAAACACTGGACTTCATTTCGAAAACTAAAGTACACAGTGGTTCAAAAAAAATGATAAGCGATTTTAACAGAATTTTGTCGCTTACAACTTTGATTTATAAAGAAGCAATCAAAATAATTAGAAAATTTATAAAGATCATAGCATCCATGTATTGTTTTTTTAAAAAAATCATATATGCTCTTATATAATCGTTATCTACCTTTTTAATTAAATGTTCGATTTCGATTCTTTAGTGTAAGATTATCGTTATACTTGAAGTTGGTATTTTATAATTTACTGCATCTACGATTGTAAATCTTTTCCATTTTAGCTTTTTTTTACGTTATCGTTATCGTTATTAGTTTCGTACAAGTGTTAAAAAGAATTAGCAAACCCTTTTCCCGTTTTAATTAGTATCATGATGGTTTGTTTCTTAATGATTTGCTAATCTAAAATATCTTACACATATATATATTAAAAATAAATTTATTGTGCTATATATTTTTTTTACTAAAGCTTTACTGAAACAAGCAAGCAAATTTAATACGTACTAGCAATTAACTATGAAGTAACTATTGTTACTTGTGATAGCAATTTGGTTTAAAGCTACTATATGTTAGCAATACGCCTATTATAGATTTTAAAGTTATAATAAAGTTTTTATATAATCTATTATACTACGTAGGAAAATAGAAACGTCCGGAGCAAAAATTTATTATAATTAATTTAGTAACAGCCAATCAAACGTATTGATTTTATAGATTAATTAATCACGTTGTCGGACACGTACAGTAGCCAACAAAAGTAACGCCCAATTTTTGTTCAAAAAATAAAATTTTTATTTATTTAATTTTGGTCGCATATATATCAAATTTTTTTTTTATATTTATTTAATACTTTACTGAGCGACCTCCTACACTTGCGATAGTGTCGATTCTTCGTGTCATTAGTCTGCAACTACACGAAGAACTGACATATTCAAATTTGATCATGCTTCCTGTAAGGCCATTTTAAGGTCAGATTTATTCCTTGGGAAGTCATCACGGTTCTGAATATTGTCCTTTATGACCTTCCAAATATTTTCTATGGGGTTAAGGTTAGGGGATCATGAGAGTCAATTTATATAACCAATATTTTTTGAATTTAGTCAATCTGATACCTTATGAATTGAAGCATTGTTATGTTAAAAAATCAGATAAAGATGTTTAACAAATGAACTGCAATTATAAACTGTATAAGATGATCATTTAACACCTTGATATAAATATTTTTATTAATTTTTTGCTTGGAACCTTTATAATTATTAAAAAAAATTATGAGATTTTTGATATTATTAACAAAATATGAACAAATGATTACTAAGATCTTTTTATTTCTAAAATTTGATTACAAATATTTATGTTTGTATCTCTCATCTATATAACACTATACATGAACTTAATAGGATTATTTACCTATTTCTATATTCATTTTATTCAAAAAAATTATATGTTTCCAATAATAAATATTCTTATTTTTATTTTGATTATATCATTTTATATATCATTTTATATTATTATTTAACAAAAAAGATTTCAAATCAATAATATGAGAACAAAATTCAATATTGTATAAGGTCCTAACTATAATCTACACATTGCATTGAAAATTTAAATCCTTTACAAGTTTGAGTAATAATATATATTTTTTCTTCAATGTTTTTTTTATTATAACAATTTTTTCTTATTTTTTCAGAATAAGAAATATCTGAACTGAGATAAATTCTTAATTTTTTTGATTATTCTGTATTTTTGTAAAAACTTTCGAACTGTTGTTGAATTATGCTTAATCTTGTGAACAACTTGTTTAGTATTCATTATATTAATATAAATAAAAATTATTATTTCTTTTTTTCTATCATTTGGTTTCATGATATTTTCATTAAAAAAATTTTTTTGGTATGCATTTAATTTTTTTGACATTAAGAAAGCAAAAAATAAAAAAAATTTACCTCAAAATTTATAAGAATGATTATATATAGATTTTTTATTTATTTATATATAATGATTTGCAAATTGAATATTATTTATATTGGTTACTGTACTAATTGCATATATTTAACTTTAGAATAAAATATATTAGCATGTAATATGTTTTTAAATTTATAATAGATATATATATATATATATATTTATAGATATTTGGTCATCTATAGTAAAGTAGATGACATAAGATTCTGAGCATGTCTTTAGATCAAAAGGCTTGATCCTATTATATAATTATTACAAAATTATAGAATTACAAAATATAATATTGTAATAAAAGTTTTTTTTGATTGATTGTTAATTCTGATCATAATTGGCTAGTAATATATATATGCATAATAGCATACTTGTATTTTTTTTCTTAAATTACATACATATTAATAATTTATATACTAGAGACATGTTCTAGAGTATGATAAGAAAGACATGTTTCTGTTTAAAGATATAATTTAAAATTTTACTGTACCTTTTATTCTAGTTTACAAGCATATACTAAATTATATATTTTAACTTTAAGTTAAATATATTAGCATATAACAGGTTTTGAGTTTATAATAAGTATATAAATTTTAATATATATCTATAGACTAATAATTCTTAGCAATTTATTAGTATATTATATATAAAAATATTATATATGATTTTTATAAGTTATACAAATTGATAGTTTATATTTTTAAGTTTTGTCCAAAGATTTAATTTTTTGTTCAAAGTTTTAATTTTTTGTTCAAAGTTTTAGTTATTTTTTTTGTTATTATTAAAGTTAATATTAATGATAATTTTTTTTTTTTTTTTTTTTTTTATGTTAAGATGACCTCTTGGGTTTTTTGACTTTATTTAACAATAATAAATATGGTTCAGTAAACCACTACAGGAAGAGCATACAATTGGCTACATGTGTAACTTTTCTATATTACCTATTTAATAAATCTGCTTGAAAATTCTCTACCAATTGTCATACCTAACACTCCTGCTTGGATATTTCATTTTAAACCCTCTGAATCTGTAAATCTGTTAACTTCACTGGTCATATCTGATGCCCAGATTATCATCTTAATCTTAGAACTATTTTATCCTCAAGATAAACCTCCAGAGCCTTCTGTATCTATTTTTATAGCTGATTTAGATATCATTATAGCAGAACTAACACTTGCAGTTAGGACTTAACTATTAAACTACTATGTTCTTGTAGAGTTCACTTAGATTCTAGCATTTACTTTACAGCATAACCTCAGTACTTTAGTACACCCCTGACTTTTTATCTGCCTTTTTATCAAATTCCTAATTCAGACAGTCTGTGTAGGACTATGACCAGTCTATCAATATATTAGGTTGACCTGATATTCTTTTTTGCTAGTTCATTCTAGTAGTCTGGTTGGTGGTATTCCTAAGACTTTCAATCTAGAGATTCTTGTCTGTTCAGCTACTACAACCTTGGTATCCATTTCCTCAGGCTAGCCTTTACAGTAAAGCTATTGAAGATTCAGCTACCTCTTTACTCAGGTCTTTCCAAATAGACTTCTTGTTACCCAATTTCAACAGATTTACATGATCACAAGGACTTATCTAATGTTTGCATTACCTAATTGTCAGTTTGCATTCTTTTGTATAACCACAGACCTTGTCTTAAAGAACAATATCACATGACTTGTTACATGAATGCTCCATAACCTGCCAGTTATGCTAATGCAACTGTTATTACAAATATCCTAATCTAATTATTAGTAACAGTTGCTGTAATATAAATATTATATAAATGATTATTCAAATTTTCACTGTCAATAGGATTTGAACATTTAACCTATCACTTAGAGAGTTGACAACCTGACCACTTCACTAGATCACTACACTCCAATATTAATGATAATTATTATTTAATATTTTTAATTATATATATATATATAACTTGTACAAGATGGGTATACAACTAGTTATATATAAAGAATAGGATTGTTATTCTTTAAGTAGCAAGTCTAATATTTAAATTTTAATTATAATAAAATTTAGAAATAACAACTATATTATGATAACTGTTTTTTGTTAATCAGTTGGTCTTATATAGTTGTAATTTAGATATATTTAATCTAATAATTTGAAAGCTCAAAACATCTATGTAAAGTATAATATTATATATATATAAAAGAATGTTTACTAATATTGCATAAGACTTTAGTATAAATCTGTAATAAGACTAACAAGCATAGAAGACTAAGAATCTAAGATATAGAAATTTGGTTAAAAAAAATTTTAAGTAAAAAAGTAATATAAACTTTTGATAATACTATCAAACTAGTTGAAATTTATAAATTATTCTTAAAGAAATAAATTAAATAAACTAAATACAACATATATATAAAGAAACATATAATCAACTAGGCTGTTAGATTTACTAAATAAAAAATATATAAAAAGTATATTATACTAGACTATTTGGATTAATAGTCTAATTAAGTAATAGTTAATAAAAAATAATGAAAAAAATGTTAGAAAGATGAATACTAAGTTCTTAGTAAACTTTATAAAGATAAAAATAGTATAATATAACAGTTAAATAAATAACTTTTGTAACTGCAAATATTAGATAACTATAGTATATTGCATAAAACTAGATCAGCTATATGTAAACATATTAGACTTTAGTAAGTTTTTTATTAAGAATAAAATAATTTTAAAAGTACTAATAAGTATTAAGAACTTAGATAAGTAATGTTTCTATTATACAAAAGAATTGCATATGTAAAGAATTTAAATAGGCAAAACCTATAGTTATTTTGCAGATATAATATATAGTATAAAATTTGTATAGTAATATCAAGCAGGTTACTTAAATTAGACACCAAAAGTGCATAAATAATTAGTTATAATTTTTAATATAAAAAGGCCTTTGAAAGTAGCTATATCTGATAAAAAACTTAAATGAAATAGTTGCTTTTTAAAGATAGAGATTTTAATTAAAAAAAACAACTAGTTATATGTGCAACTTTTAGTTATCTATTTAAGCAATCTAATTTTT